CTTCTTTTTTTTTTTGAGACCCAGTCTCACTCTGTCTCCCAGGCTGGAGTGCAGTAGCAAGATCTTGGCTTACTGCAACCTCTGCCTCCCAGGTTCAAATGATTCTACCGCCTCAGTCTCCCAAGTAGCTGGGATTACAGGCGCCCGCCACCATGCCCGGCTAACTTTTGTATTTTTAGTAGAGACAGGGTTTCACCATGTTGGCCAAGCTGGTCTCGAACTCCTGACTTGGTCTTCCAAAGTGCTGGAATTACAGGCAAGAGCCACCTTGCCCAGCCAAGAATTTTTTTAAAAAAATAAACACACATATTCTGCAAAATGAAAGTGAGGAAGTGACTGCACTTGTCACAGACTGCCATTCATTCTAAAGAATTTTTATTCTTTGTCATTGCCTTGCAGTGAAACCTTCTAAGCCCCTTTGTAGCATTCAAGGAAGACCAGAAACTGGCCACACTATTTCCCTTTCCTGTCTCTCTGCACTTGGAACACCTTCCCCTGTGTACTACTGGCATAAACTTGAGGGAAAAGACATCGTGCCAGTGAAAGAAAACTTCAGTAAGTGTAACCTGCAGTAGATCCTGGAAAGGCCTGGTGGCTGTGGTTGGATGACAGCAGGAGTTTGTGGTTGGCTGCTTGACCTTACAGTTCAATCTTCTTGTTTTCCCGGTGACAGGCAGGGGTGGGGGGTAATGTAAAAAGAATGCCTGTCTCCCAACATGATGATTGTGGTCTGGTCTACTCCCCAAATTCTAAAAGTCAGCTCAGAGGTAGTGAGTATTTAGGGAACAGGCATGGTCCCAGGTGGGTTACCATTCAACTAGTCCCAAGAGGCCTAGTTGAATCCCAAACATCTCAAGAAAGGAAGGCCAATATGGGGGAGTGGGTGGACATTGAATGATCTGTTACACTGATGTTATCTGTACTCAGAGAAGAGATCTCAAAAGTCTATTTCCCATTTTCAACAGACCCAGCCACCGGAATTTTGGTCATTGGAAATCTGACAAATTTTGAACAAGGTTATTACCAGTGTACTGCCATCAACAGACTTGGCAATAGTTCCTGCGTAATTGATCTCACTTCTTCACGTGAGTTGACCATACAACTTTAAGAGTTTTTCCTTAAATCAAGTAGTCTGTGCCTGTCAGCCAAATAAATTAGGATCATTGGTTAGTGCTTCCTGCTTCTCTGGAGATTTGTGTGCTTTATTTACAGGTTGATATGATGAATGATCATGCTAATATCTAATGCTCACATAATAATATATGCCACAGGATGCCCTAAATCCTTTACAGAAAGCAATCTGTTTAAGCTTTACAAAATCGCTAGAAGGTAGGTATTACTATTCAATAATAGAACAGCAGCCTTTCTGATAGCAGCAGGCTGAATTTCTCTTTGTGATGCTGTTGGTAAATCCAGGTGACACTGTAGCTCTGACAAACATATACCTTGCAAAGATCTGCCACTAATAACTATAGTATTATAATAATAACACTCATACCCACAATCATGGTAGCTAATATTTGTGGAGCACGAATTATATGCCAGACACTCCACCAGGTGCCATCTGAGTATTAACTTACTCTATCCTCCTAACCATACCTACCTAGGGAGGCAGACTATTAGCCTCAATTTGCTGAAAAGAACACTGAAACTCAGGGAAGTAAATGATTTGCTCAAGGTCATCCAGTTAGTAACTGGCAGAGCCAGGATGCCTCTAAACCTCAATTATCCTATTCAAAGGCGCTTACTCACTCTCTGAGCATAAGATTTAAGAGTTCTGGAATTGTGCAATTGAGCCGACCCAGGGGCAACCTCTCAAGGAGTATCTCACCATGTTTGGTTGAGATGGCTCTCAAGGATCACTTAACAACACTTAGGATCTTGTTTCCTTTTTCTAATTTACTTTGAATTTGTGGTTTTAATATATGCCATACCCAGGGGTGGCAAGCTCCACAGGTTATTCCTGTGCAGCTGAGCTTTCTTCCTTTTATTTGTCCTGAAGTTTACTCCTTTATTCTCATATTACTTTCAGCTATTTTTCCTGCATCATTTCTGTTATCTTTCTTTAGAATTCCCTCAATCCTTTTTGCCTTCTCAGAGGTACAATCATACTGCAGATGTAGAGACATGTAGGATTCGGATTTGAGCATCGCTTTCTTTCTAGTCTTTTTCCAGTGATGTCCAGCATTGCCTCCCTCCCTCCCACATCCCTTCTTTCTTTCTTTCTTCCTTCCTCAAATATTTATTGAATATCTGCTGTGTGCCAGGGACTGTCCTACGTGATGGAGATACAGAGATTAAGAAGATGTATGGTCTATACTCAAGGAACTCACAGTTCAGCTAGAGGGACAAACACAACTAAAATGTGCTAAATGCTATAACAGAAGTCTGAACAGAGCACCAAGAGAGGACCAGTTATGCTTATAGAACTGTGATGTCTTTACCAACCAAATGCTATTTGAGCAGGATCTTGAAGGAACTGGCAAAACCTCTTTATCTATAAAATGGGAAGGTTGAAGGATGACCGTAGAGCAGCAGGCTTAGGAGGGCAACCAGTTCATGATGGGGGAAGAGAATGGAGGGCTTCACATGGCATGTCTCTGAGGGAAAAATCACAAGAAACTGATATATCATCTGATATGTTTGAATTAATTGAAAGAAGTTTAACGGTTTTGTTAGAAATTTTGGGATGAGTGATAATGCATTTATTAATCCCCAAATGAGGCAATTATTAACCTTCAGGAAAATTTTTGTCAATGTTGTACTAGAAAAAATCATAGTATACTGTGTTCCTCAGCTGTGACTGATATTTACACAGTCATACTACTGCAAACTTGGATTTAACTAAAACTTGTGATAAAATTATTTTGGAAGAACGTGGTGGGTGTGAGGGAAGTGGTGTAAAAGAGCTCAATCTCCAGTTTCTAGGGTAGGAAGTTGAAAGAAACTGATGGAAATGGAAAAAGGTAGGGCATATCAGAGCAAGCATAATAAAAACATGGGGGCAAGGAGGTTTTAAAAAAGCATTAAGAGTGGTTGCCTTTCGTGAATGGGACTCAGGGATGGGAAGGAGTTAGGCAGGGAACTGCTGTTTTTGTGAGAGATATAGTAGAACGATTTGACTTTTAAAAGTATTCACATATATGCTCTTAATCATAAAAAGTTAAAGGAATTATTATCAGGCAGCTAAAAATATAAGATGTCCATCCTTGTGTGAGGGGTGGCAGATGGAGATGGATTGGCTTATAACCTAGATACAGTCTTCCAGAGACACACTTCAGGACCTGAAGGTCTGCTGCTCAGCTGGATAGTCTCATACTCACTACATTTGTCCACGGACTGAGACAATAAACCAGATGCCTGTTTATCAAAATGGGCACATCCGTTCCCAGTGACCAGAATGCATGAGGTTCCTTGGTAAACTTGGATGCCATGGGGAAGGTTTTCAGGGACCCGTTTCACCCATGCTCTGGACAAGCCTAGTGAAATGCCCCCGCCTATAACACAGGCTTATCTCTAGTCACCAGATCACAACTCCATAGTGTCTCAAGACTCTTTTCTCTAAATCCCATTTCAAAAGCAGCCCCATAACCTCCAAGATGACACATTTTATTCTTTATGTGCATAAATACCAATAGTCGTCTCCCCCTGTGAGTCCAAGTGACAGAGTTCTAGGGGTTTCCATCTCCCTAGCCTATACAAGTCATTTTCCCACTAGGTGAATGGCCCTGATATTTCCCACTGGTAACAAACACACATTATAAAATGACAATACATTCCACTTTAACCAGCTGCTTTCGTCCTTCAGATCCAGAAGTTGGAGTCATTGTTGGGGCCCTGATTGGAAGCCTGGTAGGTGCGGCCATCATCATCTCTGTTGTGTGCTTTGCAAGGAATAAGGCAAAAGCAAAGGCAAAAGAAAGGAAGACAAATTCTAAGACCATCGCGGAACTTGAGTAAGCCTTCATTTTGTTGTCTTGAATACAGACATTTCTCAGGCATGTCTCTTTCAGTCAGCAATTCCTAAGCACTCCGTTTAGCATAAGATATTAGAGGTATCTTTCTGTTTGCCCTCACTGCTTTTAAAAAAGAATAATGATGGCTGCTATTTATTGAGTGCTGTGTGCCAGGCTCTGTTCTAAGCACTTTATGTACATCACCTCATTTAACTATCACAACAATCTTTTTAGGTCCAAGAAAATGTTTTAATATATAACATTAACATACTTGTCTTTATACCAACATAGTCATGAAATATAATTTTAAATATTTTTTTATGGAACAAGAGACCCACAAGGACAAAAGTGTCCAGGGCACACAGAAATTAGAATGTGGTCCAGCCCACAGCCCATGCTCTTAATCACTCTATTACTTCCCTAGTGTGTATCACAGTCATTAATTTTTTCATCTTCTTGCTTCTGCAACTATATATTGGATATCAACCAGGTGCCAAGTATTGTACTAGATGGAGTTGGAAATAGAGATGTGTCAGAGATATGGATTTGGCCCTTAAAGACCTTATTAGATTCTTAGACTCTTTCATTCTAACATCAATTTTCCCACCTTTTAAACACTGGTCTTTCTTAAACTTTCATTATATTGTTGAGGCCTAAACTTTCTGAATCCAAAATGACATATGACCTGACAATGAGTCAGAATATCAGAAATAACAGATTTCCTGAAGTCTGGGACCTATGATCATTGAAGCTACAGAGCATATGTTTCTACATGAAATTTCAAAGTTAGCATCTCCCTAACTTGTTCTTTTCTGGGCCTTCTTTCTTGCAGACCAATGACAAATATAAACACCAGGGAAGAAAGGGAAACAATGTCAACAGAAGATGCTACCCAACTAGAAGCAACTCTACCACCTTCCATTCATCAGCCTGGCCCTGATACCATCCAAGAACCAGACTATGAGCCAAAGCCTACTCAGGAGCCTGCCGCAGGACCAGAGCCTAAGGCAGTGCCTAACCTTGACATCGAGCTGGAGCTGGAGCCAGAGCCAGATCTGCAGTCAGCATTGGAGCCAGAGCCCGAGCCAGAGCCAGAGCCTGAGGCTGTAGTTGAGCCCTTAAGTGAAGATGAAAAGGGAGTGGTTAAGGCATAGGCTAGTGGCCTAAGTACAGCATTAATCATTAAGGAACACATTACTTACCCATTACTGCCGTTTAGAATTCAGACAACCTAACCAACCGCCACCTCCTCCCTCCATTTTGACCAACCTTCTTCTAACAAGGTGCTCATTCCTACTATGAATCCAGAATAAACATGCCAAGATAACTACTAAATCAGTGCAAGTGTTCCTGCATTACTAATGTAGAGTACTCAGAATTTTACTAACATGTAAGCATAACAAATGACAAGGCAAGTGATTTCTAACTTAGTTGAGTTTTGCAGCAGTACCTGTGTTATTTCAGAAAATCTTATTTCTCTCTCTCTCTTTTTTTTGAGATGGAGTCTCACTCTGTCACCCAGGCTGGAGTGCAGTGGCACAATCTTGGCTCGCTGTAACCTCCACCTCCCTGGTGCAAGTGATTCTCCTGCCTCAGCCTCCTGAGTAGCTGGGACTACAGGCACATGGCACAACACCCAGCTAATTTTTTGTATTTGTAGTAGAGACGGGGTTTCACCATGTTAGCCAGTATGGTCTTAATCTCCTGACCTCGTGATCTGCCTCCCTGGGCCTCCCAAAGTGCTGGGATTATAGGTGTAAGCCACCGTGCCCAGCCTCTTTTTAGCTACTCTTATGTTCCACATGCACATATGAAAAGGTGGCATTAATTAGATTCAATATTATTTCTAGGAATAGTTCCCCATTCATTTTTATATTGAGCACTAAGAAAATAATTCATCACCATTATCTCATAGATTGGAAAATTTTCTCCCAATAAAATAGAGAAGAATATGTAAAGGATATGTCTTAATTGGTACATAGCATTTCCAATCAGGTCTTATAATTAATATTTCATTTCCCATATTAGATTTTTCAAGAAGTCACGCTGGTATCAAATATCTGAGCATGGCAAACTTAAAAATTAACACAGTTTCACACATATAATCCTGGCATTTTGGGAGGCTGATGTGGGTGGATCACCTGAGGTCAGGAGTTTGAGACCAGCCTGGCCAACGTGGCGAAACCCTGTCTCTATTATAAATACAAAAATTAGCTGGGCATGGTAGCACATGCCTGTAATCCCGGCTACTCAGGAGACTGAGACAGGAGAATGGCTTGAACTGGGAGGTGGAGGTTGCAGTGAGCCAAGATTGCACCACTATACTCAAACCTAGGTGACATAGTAAGACTCCATCTCAAAACACCACCACCACACACACAACTTTAAATGTCAAATAATGTACCAGCAAACATTTTCAAATATAATTTCCTTCAGTGAACACAAAATGTTGATATCACAGGTAATGTACAATTTAGTTTTGAATGAGTTACATTATCACTGTGTCTGGTGTTACCTGCTTTGAAAGGCAGACGAGAAAAGTGTTCTAAATGAACACTTAATGATCTATTTTAGATAATTTCAACTAATAATTTAAATAATCTGTTTAACTGCTGGTATATTTCACATTAATAAAGTGATACCAATCTTGTAGGAATGCTAAATATTACTAAAATGCACTGATATCACTTCTTCTTCTCCTATTAAAAACCTTTTTCATGATCATATTTCTCTCACATTTCACCTAGAAGAAACTTATAGGTAGAATTACCTTTTCACTTGTGGAATCAATTATATTTTAAATCTTACTTTAAGGCTCAATAAATAATATTCAATAACATCTCATTGACAGTAACTTAATAAAAAACTTTCTTGACATTGCATTTATGTATAATAAACCACACATTAAAAGTGTACAAATTGATGAGTGTCAATAGTGTACATACCCATGAAACCACCACACCCATCTAGAGAGAAAACATTTCCATCAGCCCAAAATATTCCTTCATGCCCTTTTGTGCAATCCCACTGTTGTCCAGCACCTAGGCAACCAATCATTGTTTTCCGTCACTGGAGATTAACTTTGCCTTTTCTTGGCCCTCATACATATGGGATGATATAATATGTACTTTTCTGTGTCTCACTTCCTTCTAAGGTGAATCCTTTTTAAATGATGTAATGAGTTTCTCATTTATCACTTTCAGAGTTTCATGTAAAGGATTTTATTAAATTGTAAACTCTTTCTATATAGATCATAACCATACACTGATTGAGGTAGAGTTGGTAAGTTTTAAGGCTAGTTAAAATGGAAATTAACATTATACTTGTCTAGGGCCATGGAGAGAAGAGATAGCAAGCTTTTATTTCTGCATTTTCTTTAATGTGTCAATTTTCAGAAAATGTCAGGGAGTTCTGAAGCATCTATAATTTTATTCATACTAAATATGATACTATGATATATGGTGTCTGATGGATTCAAGAAGCAAAATGATGAAGGTCTTAAGAATGACCTAATATTTAGAGATTAAAAAGTAAGCAACAGTGTAAACATCTCAATTACCAGAATGCTCATGTAGCTGGAATTCATTTTTCCTTTCCATTTTTATGATAGAAGCAAATCACAAGAGACTGACATGTAATAGTCAACATTTACACCCACATACGGTATTTTTGATGGATCAGTGCAGTCCAGGAAAGAGAGCACTACTGGTACTCTTATAGAGCTCTGTCCTTATTACCACTGTTCTGTTCAAAATACTGATGAATGGTTGGATCAGTGTCTTGTAACCTTTTTCTGAGGTCATGGATCACCTTGAGAATCTGCTGAAAACTCTAAACCCATCTCCATTGAAAAATGCTTATACATACAATGTGTCACATATAGTTTTGGGTGAATTGCAGACTCCCTGAATCCAAGATGAAGAACTAGTTACTTAGATCAAAACACAGAAAGTACACTTAATAAATTTGTGGATGACTTGCTCCTAGGAAGAATGGCCACTAGGCTATAAGACAGAATCACGATTCAGAATTGACAGCTCAAAAGTGAAGTTGAAATCAACAAAATGAATTTGACAGCAAGGATATAGGTGAATGGCTAGCTGAAGAGGTACATAGGGTGAGGAATAAATGGAAAAATATGGATTTAAAAATATGGAGTATATGTTGCCCAGACAGAAACTCTACATAGGTAAGGTTAGGAATCACATGAGGTTAATCTGAATTTGTACCTTTGGATCTTTCCTTTCAGTGCCATTTCTGGCCTTGTGGCACCTTATTTTCCAAACACCTAGGATTCTCTGTTCCTACTAGCTCAGTGACCCACTCAGTTCTTCCTCCCTCGGGCAGGACTCATTGCTCAGCTTTTCTGTAACCCGTTTTTGTCCAGTAAACATGATCTTTCCTCATTCAGTGATCTTATTAGGTTGATAAATGAGTTAGTCTTCTTGGGAGTATTTACCTTTTAAAGGGGACTTCAGCACAGATAATCCTTAATCCAAAGAGTCTAAACAATCCAGAGGAGATATATTTCTGAAAAAAACTTCTGAGCCCCTCTCAAACCAAACCAGGTGATTTACCACCCATTCAACCTACTCTGGGCAGCTCAGGTTTGATCAACTTTAATCAGAGCTAGAAGAGAGCTCTGAAATAAAAAGTATTCAGACTTTTTCAACCCCAGCACACCTGACTTATAACATACACAGTGGGCCACTCCTAACAATGATGAGGCTGGAGGTGGGAGATGATATACAATTAAATTCCTGGTGGCAGAGACAGGAAGTGGCTGAGGCAGGTGAATCACGTGGTCAGGAGATCGAGACCATCCTGGCCAACATGGTGAAATTCCATCTCTACTAACATACAAAAAATTAGCTGGGTGTGGTGGTGCACACCTGTAGTCCCAACTACTCGGGAGGCTGAGGCAGGGAAATAGCTTGAACCCGGGAGGCGGAGGTTGCAGTGAGCTGAGATCATGCCACTGCACTCCGGCCTGGAGTCAGAGTAAGACTGTCTCAGAAAAAAAAAAGCTGGGGGGGAAGCTGGTTCATTCTTAAATATTGCCACCCAGTCCCTAGATGAGAATCCCTGAGTGCAGAGAAGTAAAATAATCTGCCTGAAATTACACAAAGTCAAAACTAGATCCACATCATCTAGATTTCAGCGCAATGCTTTTTCAACTGCGCCAAACTACAAATTTCAATGAAACAAACCCAAGCTTTAGTAATAAAAGGTTGTTTTACAATGCCTACATGCTGGAAAACACATCAGTGGGCCTCATAAAATGTTTAAACAAATGGATAAAGACTCAATACACCCAATTGTCTTTGAAACTTTGGTTTAAAAACAAATAATTTAGAGATGATAATGAGGGCTCCAGGAAACCATAAAAAGATGTGCCAATAAAGGAAAACTGTTCCACTACTCAAAATACTTCAGACAGGAAATGTCTGGGGTTTCCACACCAAGTAATTCTCCAGTTCTCCACAGACATCAACTGGGTGTCCTACAATTTAATTCCACTCTGGCACTACCCAGGTCTGACAAGACTGCCCCAAACTTCAGACACCAGTCACAAGTATTGGGTGCCCAGGGTACCCACACTTCTGTTCGACTTGGGTACAAATTGGGGGTTCCCACAACCCCCTACGCAAGTTTGATAATTTGCTGTAATGGCTCATAGAACTCAAGGAAACACTCTCATTTACCAGTTTATTATAAAGGATATTATAAAGGATATAGATGAATAGCCAGCTGAAGAGGTACATAGGGTGAGGTCCATAAGGATCCCGAGATCAGAGCTTCTGTTCCCTTGGAGTTGGAGTGCACTATTCTTCTGGTCTGTGGATGTGTCACCAACCTAGATGCTCACCAAATCCTGTAGTTTAGGACTTTTTGTGGAAGCTTCATCACATAGGCATAATCGACTATTAACTCAATCTCCAGGCCCTCTTCCCTCCCTGGAGGATGGGGAATGGGGCTGAAAGTTCTAATCCTCTAATCATGACTTGGTCACTAGTAGCCCCTACTCTAAAGCTATCCAGGAGCCCACCAAGAGTTGCATCATTAAAACAAAAGGCACTCCTATAACCTAGGAAATCCCAAGGGGTTTAGAAGTTCTATGTAAGACACTCCTATCACTTAGGAAATGTCAAGGGTTTTAGGAGCTCTGTTTCAGGTATGGGGGAGCTGAGACCAAACATGTATTTCTTATTATGTTACAGCCAAATTAAAGAAAAGCACCAGGGTAGGTGTTACAACTAATCAGTTATTTTCAAAATGCGAGAGTACCTTCTATTTGTTCCACTGTTTTTGAATAGAGGCAGAAAAGAAAAGGAAATAGAATTCAGTAAAGTTGGATTTTGATACTGGCTGTTTCTCTAGCTCTAGATGTTTTCTCACTTGTAAAATGAAGACAATTTCTGCCCTCTTAAAGACTGCAGTGAGAATGGATGTAAAAACTTATAAATTAAAAAACTGTGGTAGAGCTATACTTGTAGAAATGAGGTCTCCCGACAACTGATTCAGTATTCTTTTTTTCTCTCAACCAGGGATTTTTAACCTTTGGGGAGAATCACAGATCCCCATGAGAATTTGATGAAAGCTATAAATTCTCTTCCCAGAGAAATTCACATTGCAAATTTCTGCTTTCAATTTTAGGCAGTCACTAGAACTGTGAAGCTGGAGCCATAAACCACAAAGTAAAGAATCTTTATACTCTATCAGACTTGCTAACAGATTGATTTGGAGGCCTTGTAGTGTAACAGACTATGGGAACAGAAAGCAGCAGACACAGCCATGTAAGGAATTCATTGTAGCTGGTATAGCTGAGAAATTGGGGAATCGAACACTAGCATCATACAATTACATATTAAGTCAAAGATTGCAAAGAAAAACACAGATTTACTTTGAAGTATACAAAACCTCACTAAAATTGTAGATTCTCTATAACAGATATTTAAGAATGTAAATGTTTTCACTATTTTCATTGGCCTTTTTCTTCCATCTTACAGTCTCAGTTAAGCTTTACAATTATTATTACATATATATATATATATATATATATATTTTTTTTTTTTTTTTTTTTTTTTGAGACAGAGTCTCACTCTGCCACCCAGGCTGGATTGCAATGGCATGATCTTGGCTCACTGCAACATCTGCCTCCTGGGTTCAAGCAGTTCTCTGCCTCAGCCACCCTAGTAGCCGGGATTACAGGTGCCCACCATCACACCCAGCTAATTTTTTTTTGTACTTTTAGTATAGGTGGGGTTTCACCATCTTGGCCAAGCTGTTCTTGAACTCCTGACCTCGTGATCCACCTGTCTCGGCCTCCCAAAGTGCTGGGATTACCTGTGTGAGCCACTGTGCCTGGTCTTATTTATTTTTGAGATGAAGAAGTCTTGTTCTGTCACACAGGTTGGAGTGTAGTGGCACCAACTCAGCTCACTGCGACCTCTGCCTCCTGGGTTCAAGAAATTCTCGTGCCTCAACCTCCAGAGTAGCTGGGATTACAGGAACCCGTCACTACGCCTGGCTAATTTTTTTTAGTAGAGCTGGGTTTTGCCATGTTGACCAGGCTGGTCTTGAACTCCTAACCTCAGGTGATTCATTCGCCTCGGCCTCCCAAAGTGCTGGGATAACGGGCATGAGAAACTGCACCCAGCCAAATTATCTTTTTTTTTGTTTTGGAACTGTAAAATTTGCTGACCTTGAATCAGCTTCATCTCTATTACCTTTCCTACAGGCACAGGTAACAATCTTTAGTTTATACAAATCTGTGATCTAATATTAACATGCCACGTCATTTAAAATGCCAAAAGCCTAAGAAATTAACTGTGGCTTAGTTCCATTTGTACTGCTTATTGAAGAACTCGGATGAATTTCCTTTTACACCCATAAAGCCTGTCACCTTAGACAA